CCCCCCCCAATCCAACACGCACCATTCACTGTACAAAAGGATGAAAGGAGCCCGTGGCAACACTCACCGAGGAGTAGCCTTTGCCGAAGCTGGCCCGGTTCTTGGTACGTATTTTGGTCAGTGCCGCCTCGGCAATGTCAGCCCGCTCCTCTGCATCGTCCAACTCGTGAACCGTCTTTCGGTACTTTGCCAGATTCATGTTGGCCTGCTCCTCCTGCGAGGCGAACAGACAGAAATGGGAAAGGGATTCCAGGGAATAGGAGCCTCCGTCTGCACAGCTGACCTTCAAGTCTCTGTCATGTGGCCTCATTCTTTCAGGGAAATGGCAGTGAAGCCGGATGATGTTCTCCTTCCTTCCTGGGTTACCAAAGCTCTCTAATCCCAGGGGGTCATGGTTAGCCTGGTGCCACACTGAATACCGCACTGTCAAAAATAACATACTGCAGATCCACTCTCAAATCCCCCACCCCCCAACCCCCAAACCCCAATCCCTCTCTCTAAATTAGTACATTTATCAAACATCAAGTACACCCTTTGGCTTCATTAGTCCATCTGACAGGATCTTTATGGACCATTTGAAATCTCTCTGACCACTAATGGGAAAAGATTTCTTAATCACAGTCACCAAGTAAATGCCAGAGAACAAAAACTGAAATGAAAAGTGGGACAATACTTCCGTTCGTGTAGCAACCTCATGAGGCTTTTAAGCTAATGATTCTTCATTCCGTTGACTTACAAATAAGTATTTGTTTTGCAAGGAGCTGCATCACACGAAAAATAAATACAACCAATGGGTAGGAAACAATTAAAGATGATTTTTTTTTAATGCATCAAGTACCTCTGCGTTTTACCCCCTAAGTCACATGACAGACTCAGCTCACTAGTATCACCCTGTAATTGTGCCCAGTAATGTCCTAGTGGATTGCCATTTGATTTCTTATTGTCTTCTCTTTCTCCCCCACCCCCTCCATCTGCGCAGTGGCTTTGACAAGGAGAAAATTCACCTTGCAGGGACTGGAACATTGCAGTCCGTCTCCATTCTGTCTGGGCCCTGTGATAGGGATGTGTAGCCCACGTCTGATTGTTGTCCCAGCCAAATGTTGATGACTGGTCCCAGTAGGTAGGGTCTGATTCTTCACACTGGGCTCCAGCTAACACTAACCACATAAATACCAGAAGGCTCGGGCAATCCTAACTGGGACTTAATCCAGTGGTGGCTTACATTCATTTCCAGCAGCAGTTTATAATGATTCTCGTGTCTCATTTTGTTTATCATCACTTCAACTTTTGTGTTTAAATAGAAACCCTGTAACACCGATCAAACAGAAACTCTATGGAGTATATTTTGAGCGTCTTTGCTGGCATTTAGTGGTAACACAATCAGATCCGTCCTGAACACGGTTTCCTGCCCTGTCTAAAATGGCTGTCGGTTACAGGCACTAGGCTTCCTTTAACACAGAAAACAAGGCCTTACAATATTAACAGAGACACAGAACTGGTCAAAGTCAGTCTTGTGAAGGCTTCGAGCTTCTGAGTGCACCATGTGCAAAGAGCAAAGAGGTTTGTTAAAAGTGTCAGTTTATACTCGGTGAATTTAGCTGATGTTCCTGCATCACAGGGTCACAGAGTGCTACAGCACCTGAAAGTGGCCCTTCAGCTCATTGTCAAACATCCCTCTACTCCAATCCCATTGGTGTGCCATGGTGTTTGACGGGACCACCCAAATGCTTCTTACATATTTCAGGCACGGAGTTGCAGATACCCACCAACCTCTGAATGAAAGGACATTCTCTTCAAATCCACTGCAAACCTCCCACTTCTTACTGTAAATCTATCCCCCCCTACCCCGGCCCAGTACGTGTGCAATTGTCACAGCTCAATTCCGAGGCCTCAATCCTGTGAGCAGCCTATTTGTCACCCTCACTGAATCCCCCACTATCAACATCCTGGGGGTTATCATTGATCAGAAACTCAACTGGATTCACCACGTTAACAGAGTGGCTACAAGAGTAGGCCGGAAGCTGGGAATACTGTGGCGAGTAACTCACCTCCTGACTCCCCAAAGCCTGTCCACCATCTATAAGACACAAGTCAGGAGTGTGATGGAATACTCCCCACTTGCCTGGATGAGTGCAGCCCCAACAACACTCAAGAAGCTTGACACCCTCCAGGACAAAGCAGCCCGCTTGGTTGACACTACATCCACAAGCATCCACTCCCTCCACCACCGACGCTCAGTAGCAGCAGTATGTACTATCTACAAGATGCACTGTGGAAATTCAAACATCCTCAGACAGCACCTTCCAAACCCACGACCACTTCCATATAGAAGGACAAGGGGCATCAGATACATGGGAACACCACCCCTTGCAAGTTCTCTTCCAAGCCAGTCGTCATCCTGACTTGGCAATGTATCGCCGTTCCTTCACTGATGTTGGATTATAACCCTGGAAATTCCTTCTGGACAGCCCCGTGTGTGGGCCCACGTTCTCCATGGACTGCATTGGTTCAGCAAGGGGGGGGGGGGGGGGGGGGCACACTGTCATGTGAATCACACGCTGGCCGTGCCCTCACCACCCATACCCCCTGTGAAAAAATCCAAGTAAAAATTAGGATTCTGTTCGCAGACGTTCCAACTAATTCTGAGCATGGCCTTTCAGAGCTGCCTCATCCCCCAAGTGCACCTGGGAGGGGAGATGTACTCACCGCTTCCTCCACCTGCCTCTTGTAGGCCTTCAGCTTGTTCTGCAGCCTCTCGACCAGCTCCTGCATACGATGCTGGTTCTTCTGGTCTTCCTCAGCCTGGAAGACCAGCTCCTTCAGTCGCCGCTCATTCTTACGCAAACTCTTCACTGTCTCACCATGGCGTTTCTGCTCACCGTCCAGTTCCGTTTCCAATTCTTTCACCTGCAGCAAGGAGGCACCAGTCAGCAGCGGATTACCGCGGACTACATCCCATTCCTGCTGAACCCCAGGCTCATTCTCACGTCAAGTGACAACCGAGTAACATTCTTCCAGATAAAAACTGAGCTCAAAGTTCCACTAATGTAAACAGGAACAAGGCAAGAGGCAGGAGGTGGTCTCTGTGCCTTCAGGAGCAATTCCTCAGACTCTAAAGCTAACTTTTTTGACCAACCCGTTTGGATGTGTTATGACAACCCTCTGGGGTAGGTGAGACATGAACCCAGACCTTCTTGTCTAGAGGTAAAGACATTACCACTGCACTGCAAGACTCCTGTCTCAGTACAGTCTAAGTCGACTACTTTGCCCTCCCACAATCCTGTCAGAAGTGGAGTCTGACAAATGTGGGCCTAATTCTTCTCCAATTAGCTTGGGTCGCTCTTAATCATAACTAGAGCATGGACAAAAACTTTATTTTACTTTCCTTTACCCTACCAAGGTGAAAAACTCTTCTGCCCATCCCTAACTGCCCTTGTGCTGAGTGGAGTTAAGAACGAACCATGGTGGGCATGGAGTTACGTAGAGTTCAGGTCAGGAAAGGGGGAGGGGGCCAAGGGTCACAGCGAACCAGGTGGGTTTTCTCCTCCACAACCGGTGATAGTTGCCATGGTCACCAATCGCCGAGATGAGCTCGGCACTGGAGACATTTTTTTGTTGAATTTACAGTGGCAGTGGGATTCGAAACCCTGACTATTCCCATGTCACTGTCACTATTGTCGTACATGAGCACACCTCCAGCCAGCAGTGCAATCAGGAGGTACTCTCTTTCTCACTCCAACCCCTACCTTCCAGCTGGGTAAACCCCTCGCAGTCAGGGCTGTAGCCACTCAACAGTCCTAACTCGCACCTTTACCAAAACCTACGTTCTCACCCGGCCTTCCAGTTTCTGAATGATTTTCTTGCCCCCTTTCAGGGCCAACTGCTCAGCCTCCTCCAGTTTCATGTTCAGCTCCTTGATCTGTGCCTCCAGGCCCTTCTTTACCCTCTCCAGGTGTAGGGTGTGCTCCTGTTCATGGTGCAGTTCTTCAGCTAATCTGACAACCTTAAAACAGAATACAGCAGCAAGGGTCACTTTAACACAACCTAGCTGCGCTATGTAGAGCAACACTACCCTCTTGTGACTGTTCTGTCAATGAGCACTCAAAACTCTGGTCCCAGCTAAAATATTCAGTCACATTCCCCTCACTCTCAAACGCACAAACCCGCAGACAGACATATGTTCACCGATTTAAAAAATAATGACATTTTCACAATTTTGGACAGATTGTGCACAGAAATCCCTTCTGAGCAGCAGGGTGCCACCACCTGGTTCAAGAGAAGATGTGCACTTCTTTCAATTGAATTTGTTATAAATCAGCCTTCAGAGTCTGCAATGACCCAATCAAATAATAATTCTTCAAATTAAACCACGCCTTGTTCCAAAATGGACCCATTAGACTGAAAGGAAAAAGATTCTGAATTTTAAAATCACATTTTGATGGAGAAGTGGGAGAAATATGCAGAAAAGCTGTGAAATAAAAGCAAAATGTTTCAGGTGCTGGAGATCAAAACAAAAACAAACGTAGTATTGGAGAAACTCTGCAGGTACGGAAGCAGCTGTGGAGGGAGAAAGAGTTAACATTTCGAGTCTGGATATGACTCTTCTGCAAAACGTCTTCAGAAAAAAAGTCAGTGGGCTGACACCACACCTCATACTGAAACTTCCCTTTTCTAGATTTTATTGATGAGTGTTACTTTTATATAACTGAAACCTCCTGAGGCTAATGGTTTTATACTGAGGGGTAGATCGGTGGGGTGAATGAGAAGGGAGAAGGGGGCGAAGTCTGTAAGGATGGCACGTCTCATTTCCCCCAGGTCTCCAGCTGCAAACTGAGCCCATGACATCTCAGCTATTCACACCATTCCTGGGGACTGTCAGCTCCGATTCCCACTAATTCCCGAAGGAGTGATATAGGAGGTTGGCGGGTGACGGGGTGAAAGGGATCACAACTGCAGCATTTGCTGAACTGGCAGCGTTTCGGGATTGGAATAGAATGCCAGCAGCAGGGATCAGGTTTTACTGATCTGCAAAACCAGTCAGGGCGAGAGCTTTCAGCTGCGAGCAGGAGCTGTTGCAGAAACAGCGCACAGCTTCGGCTCCAGAAACAAAGACCGGAATGACCAGGCAGCGATTGGAGATGCTGCCAGTGCTGTCTGCAGTGCCCAAATTTAACACAGTCGTTATTCCTCCACAAAGCACCTCACTTCATACCAATATAACTGCCCACACCATTCAGATCTCCCTCACGGATAGAGCCTTTGGGGGGCATGGGGGGTGGCTTGTTAAATAAGGGTGCCACATACCCATTTCTGAACCCAGCATCTGCCCTGTCTCGACCTTAAGCTGTTCTTTTCCAGCCAGCGAGGCAACAAACCTCTGCACAACAGAGGGACCCCTTTTAAATATGCAACTCAAGGTTACTGTAGGTCCTAGTCTTGCTCCCCATATCCACATTGACCATCGTCTGAACTTAGTTTCTTCCCAAGCTGGTATATCTCATTGGTCTCAGACTGGTGCCACTATGGGGGCATAAATCTGAAACCAACAGCCCCTTAATTGGGTGGTCACTTTTATCTTAGACTGGGACATGTTTCAGTGAAAAATTGGCTGCTTTAAGCTGTAAAAAAAAAAATGCTTTTAAAATGCTGTAATGAAGCTTGCACTGATATTACCACAAGGCTATGCTGTAAAGACACTGTCCAGCAGAAAACTGCAAACCGCAAAATTCCCAAATATTTCTCTCGAACCCGCTGCTGTAGAGCTCTGTTCTATCTGGCGGCATAGAACGACACCGCCACCTGCTGGCTGTTCCCAGAACTCCATTAAACCACCAGTAGCTCAGGGCTGTCAGTCAAGCTGTTTCTGATGACATTAAAAGCCGCAAAAGATGCAGAAACAATTTACCATCGGAAGCAGCTGGCAGACTCGTTACAACATGCTCTATTTAAAACTAAATGTAATGGAAACCTCCATCTCATGTCTGAAAATCAGCTGGACCTGAATTACACTGCAGCCTCCAGACTCAGGTTCCAGGGTAATTCTGTGAATGCCTGGAGATTGTGGACAACAGAGTAAGTGATAAGTCACCCCCATGACAGTGCGGCAGTCCCTCAGTGCTGACACTCCGACAGTGCGGGCGCTCCCTCAGCGCCGACCCTCCGACAGTGCGGCGCTCCCTCAGCGCCGACCCTGCGACAGCGCGGCGCTCCCTCAGTACTGACCCTGCGACAGTGCGGGCGCTCCCTCAGCGCCGACCCTCCGACAGCGCGGCGATCCCTCAGCGCTGACCCTCCCTCAGCTACATGCTCAGAGCTTTCTCAGTTGGAAGCAGTAAGGATGAAAGCTTAGGAGTGCAGGAATGAATAGGCTAATGAGGCAGAGTTTGGACAGAGGAACTGGGACCGAATGTTCACCCCACATGGGCCCTAGATTGCCTTAGCCATTCCCCAACAGAGATATCGTTCGTATCAACGATGCCAACACTTCCCTAGAAATTCCCGTAATTTGGTGTTTGAGTAATCTTCCTCCCTACCTCCCCAATTCCCCATCGCTGTGAGCAACGAGGAGTAGAGCTCACCTCACAAACTGCCTTCTTTGCTTTTTCGTCTGCTCCTCTGAACTCCGTTGTCAGTTCCTCATTCTCTGCTGCTATTTGCTGCAGGTCGGATTCCAGCTTGCGTTTGACGACAGTCGCACCTTGAAACTGGGAAAAGGCAAGGAGCAAAGTTCAAAAGTAGTCACAAGTCTGTGAAAAATCCGGGATGGGATATTGTCCTGCTGTCCGTCTCTCATTGCATTCCTCTCTGATGGACCAGCCCAGCAACGCTGCTCCAAAAAGCTCTAGCTCCTTCCTGATTGGGTGACCGGGTACCACCCGTGTCCTCCCTCGTCAAAACCTGATCGTCCGAAACCCGCAGCTTGGTGCTACTCCATTTCCCATCTCGCTGCATGTTCCTGTTGCACTGACTGGGAGGACACCGAGCTGCTACAGGTACAAACAAAATAAAAGGCAGTTTTTGCCCCTAAGGTTCTCCCACACCAAGTCCAAAGATGTGCAGGTTAGGCGGATTGGCCATGTCTAAATCGCCTACAGTGTCCAGGTATGTGCAGGTGGATTAGCGATGGGTAATACAGGGTTACAGAGAGGAGTTAGGGGTGTAGGTCTGGGTGGGATGCGCTTTGGAAGGTCATGTGGACTCAGTGGGCTGAATGGCCTCCTTTCACATTGTGGGGATTCAACAATTCTAAAGAACAGTAAGAGAATCCTCAAGGCCTCCTGGAAATTGCTGGCATATCATCCTTAATGTCAGACTCTTCATCAACTCTAGATTCTCCAGAAATGCTCCCCTCTGTATTCCCACTGACTGAACCTGCCAGGACCTGATTGTCGCCCAGCAATGTGAGCTACAATCACTAAATGACATGTTGCTGGGTGACAATGACCGCACATGCTCTCTGGATGATTTTTAGGTACAGATGCTGCAGCTGAAGACAGCATCCAGACTGGCTTGCAGTTAGTTAGTGAAAGTCCTCCACCTGATATCTCCTGGTTTTGACATGGTCCACCCTGCCAACTTCAACAATTACCCCCTCTGCTCGCCATCCGCCACAGTGGAAAGATGCCAAGTCACCCTGACTAGTTCCTACAATATCCCCCCACCCCACCCCAACCTTCCAAACATGGCACTTTAATGACAGGGAGGGGTGTATTGCGAGGACACAGGCGAGATTCATAATTCCTCGAGGAGACAAACCTGGAGCTCCTCAAATCGAGGAGTTTAAGTCGATCCAATGGTTTCATGGGGAGAAAGAGTTCTGACCTGAGAGATGTAACCATAAACTCAGGACTGGGCTGCACTGTGATATCCCAGGAAGCAGTTTTCCCAAGAAAAAAAACAGCGGAAGTCTTAAACTTTCTACCCCCAACCATCACCCAAATAAAGTTTGTTGAGGCTGTGAAAACTCCAGACTGAGATTGCTAGAGGTTTTCCCAGGAGAGGCTTGAAAGGGGAGTCGAGGAATTTAACATGTAGATCGGCCATCATTCAGTTGGGTGCTAGAAATAGGCTTGAGGCTTCCTCCTGTTCCTAACCACAACATCAAACCTCACCTCCTTGTGGCACCATCCAAAACCACCAGAAAGTAAATCCGCAATGGAATTAAAGAGAAAAGATATAATTCTGCAAATATTGCAAAGTCAAAACTATGAGGCAGCCCAATCCCTATTTCAATACAGCTCCTCAATGTAAGCGATTGATAATTTTACTCAAACTGATAATATATGATCTATGGATTTTAACACAAATTAAAAGGAGCAACAGACCCTGCCATTTCTTTGGTAAATTAAGGAGAGTGATGATTTGCAGTTTTGGAACGATTCGTACACTGACTGTTCACAATTGTGCAATCATTTTGATATTTCATACCCTATTTTATGTTGATGGTTGTCTGTAACTGTGCTGCAAACTTGTTTTATTTGTGTCATAATCAAATTCAACACCTACAGCTGCATTATTGACAGCCGTTATAGACTTTCATTTGTATTAACGTCCATAGATCATATATTATCAGTTTGAGTTCCCTAAATTCTCAATCACTGTTGAGAAGTGAGAGGAAATAGAGATGATTGAAAAAGAGAGATCTGGTTGTTGGCTTGCTCGCTGAGCTGGCTAGTTATTGTTCAGATACTTTATCACCATGACAGTTAACATCATCAGTTTTGCCACAAATGAAGCGATATTGTTCTACTCCGTTTGGAATTTACATGATCCGATCTGTTAAGTTGGGATGTGTCATTTCTGGTACGGTTCTGCATGGGTTTGTATATGGGGTCTAATTCCACGTTCGTTGATTTCATTGCAAGTTGGAAACCAGGCCTCTAGGAATTCCCATGTGCGTCTGTGGTTGGCTCGAGCTCGGGTGGTCACCTTGTCCCAGTTAAATTGATGGCCTTCATTGTCCGAGTGCACTGAGATGAGGGAATGTTCATTGTGTCGTTTTGCTGCGAGCTGGTGTTTGTGTATCCTGATGGCTAGTTTCCTTCCGGTCTGGCCAATGTAATGGTCATTGCAAGGTATTTTGTAAACCATGTTGGTCCTGCATGTCCTGGGTATGGGGTCTTTGGTCCTTGTGAGTGTTTGTTGTAGCATGGCTGTGTGTTTGTGTGCTACCAGGATTCCTAATGGTCATAGGATTCTTGTTGTCAGTTCCAGCATGTTCTGGATATAGGGTAGTGTAGCCAGTGTCTTGGGGCATACTGTGTCCTCTTGGCATTGTCTATCTAGTAGGCACCTGCAGATGAAGCTGTTGGGATATCTATTGTTAGCAAATACCTTGGATAGGGGCTGTTCCTCCTTCCTGTGTTGTTCTGACATTACATTAGCCAGACCGGAAAAAAACTAGCTATCAGGATACACGAACACCAGCTCGCAGCAAAACGACAGGATGAACTTTCCCCAATCTCAGTGTACATGGCAAAGGAAGGCCATCAATTTAACTGGGACAAGGTGACCACCCTAGCTCGAGCCAACAACAGACACGCATGGGAATTCCTAGAGGCCTGGTTTCCAACTCGCAATGCAATCAACGAACTTTATAATTAAACCCCATATACAAACGCATGCAGAACAGAACTGGAAATGAGACAACCCAACTTAATAAACTGGATCATATAAATATCAAGCAGAGTAGAACAACATCGCTTCATTGGAGGCTGTACTGATGATGTTATTGAGCATGGTGATGAAATGTCTGTGTAGCTTGGCGAGCTAACCACCTCATCCACAACCCGACCTACAAATCTTCGCAAGAACCTTAAAAAGAGATTGGTTTAGAACCACCGGCTGAAATTTGCACAGCGGAGACCTCCATTGGTCCCGGCTCCCTCACCTGTGTGTTAACCTCGTTGTATTTGTCAGTCATCTCCATCAGCTCTTGCTCCAGGATCTTGCGGGCACGGTCAGTCAGGTCCAGGGCACCACGGGTCTCCTCCAGTTCAGTGGACAGAACCCCACAGCGTCTCTCCACTAGGCCATACTGCTCCCGGAGCTCCTCGTGCTGTCTGCTGTCCTCCTCCATCTGGGTCTGCATGTCCTGAGGGAACACAGAAGCACAGGATTTGATGAAACACCAACTCGCCAGCCGCTCCCGTTAACAACACTCTCATACAAAACCTTGAATTTCTTTAGCGCCCTTCGTCCAAACTGGAGACCTGCAGCCAATCACACCATTTGCTTTTGCAACAGTGTTGTGGTATAGGAAACACAGCTGCCAATTTGCCCACAACAAGGAATTAACTGCTTGGTCCAATTATTTGCTCTTAGGGGGTCGGTTGAAGGAGGAATGTTGGCCAGGACACCTGGGAGAACTCCCCTGCCTTACTTACCACTCTCCGCCATGGGATGGACCACATCAGCTGTTGGGAACTACCTCCTCTGAGTGAGGAGGAACCCTGACAGACATGACCCTGTTCTCTACAACAATCCAAATGTGCCTAAGCCCTGGACATTTCTCAAATTTCCTGGGAGCCTAGAGTTCCCACCCTTGGCAAAATCTCAGTCAACTGGCCAGCACCTTGGCCCACAGCACCAGGGGTCTGGGTTCGATTCCAACCTTGGATGACTATCTGTGTGGAGTTTGCACATTCTCCTCGTCTCTGCGTGGGTTTCTTCCGGGTTTGCCAATTTCCTACACAGTTCAAAGATGTGCAGTTTAGGTGGACTGGCCATGCTAAATTACCCACAAGGTCCAAGGATGTGCAGGCTGGGTGGGCGAACCATGGGAAATGCAAGGTTACAGGGACAGGGTTGGAGTCTGGGTGAGATATACTTCGGAGGGTCAGTGCAGTCTCAGTGGGCTGAATGGTGTCCTTTTGCACTGTGGGGATTCTACGATTCTAATAACAGATTTGTTCTGAAGCAAGGGGAGGCCATTCAGCCCATCAAGTCTTCTCCTGGCAGTCTGAGTGAGCATTATGATTTGGTGTCATTCCTCTTGTCTTTTCCCTGTAACCCTGCACATGGTTTCTGTCCAAATGATAATCAAAGATCTCTTAAGTCAATCTTCAATCGGGGCCAATCTGCCACCCATTGACACCTTTTTCTCTTGGCAGTGTAAATTGGTGTGACTATTTGAAATTTGGCATTCTTGCACTAGTCCTGATGAGTGAGAGATGGGACGAGTTTAGAAATATGTCTCTGTTCTCAGCGATATTCAGAAAGATGTAACGTTGAGGCCATTCTTGACATTTCTGGTGAATGGATGTGGATTGAAACTCAATGGGATCCTCGTGTAGTGAGTTCCCACTCCTTCCTAATGATAGGGGTCATGGTATCCCTTAAAGTCTGCCGCTGTCCATGACCCACTGCTCTCGACACTAGTTAGACATGGATGGAACGGTCACACTGGGACCTGAGAGACCGAATCGTCCCACTGTCTCACACCATCGCCCAGAACACAAAGGTACAACAGCGACAATATCGAGACATGTTAGTTGATTTTGCATTTTGCAAACCAGCTCCCCTTTTCCCCTTCAGGGGCAACAATGAGCTCAGTGAATATAAACGAGTGAGTTGGCAGGTCCTGAAGAAATTATATGGGATTATCGGGAATGGAGGGATGGGAGCTCTCTCAAGCAGCTCTCTCGTTGCCATTTCTCGCATTGACAGCCAAGAGCTGGTGCACAGTGCCATCTAGTGGATGTAGAAGTTCGGACCCGGAGAGAGGAGCTCATTTCTTAAAGACGTCTGGTGGAGTGGGGGAGCTGGGGAGGGGGATTTAACCCTTGGCATACTTCACCACCATCTCCCTCCTACACGGAAATGTCACAAGGTTTCAGATCCTACCTGGTGGAAATTAATCGCAATTCATTGATTTGGAATCACAAGCTGCCATCAGTCACAGTGACCATCACTGTCCTAAAAAAAAGCATCTGGTTCACTAATGTCTTTTAAGACGGTAATGTGTCTTACCTGGTCTGTCCTACATGTGTGACTCCAAACACACAACAGTCCCCTGAAAAGGGTAGTGGGGCACTTCAGTTCAAGGGCAATTAGGGATGGGCAACAAATGCAGGCCTTGGCAATGATGCCCACATCCCAGGAAGGAATTAAAAACGCTCCAGTTGGCATTATTCAGACTCGCCAAGCTGTTTTCTCAGTTCCCCTTGGTCAGTACAATGTGCCATTTCTCATGTGCAAAACTAGCCAGGGTGCCAAGTGGTTGTTCAACTATGGCAAGCCTCACACTGCAGTCCGCGCTGTAGCATGTTCCGAAAAGGGGAGGGGGGCCGACGTGTTTCTTTTCCACCTCCGGCCATCAGTGATACCGAGTTCAATTTGTGCAAAACCCACCAAAAAAAAAACAAATCAGACAATTGGGGTCAATCAAGGGCTCGAAACTCAGGGCTTTGTCAATGGGTTCGAGGGCCTGGTCCCGAGACTTTTAAACAAACTAGGGGGAGCCACACAAGACAAATGTGACTGTCCTCCCCTTGTCACACCCAAACGCCGCACCACGGATGCTGCAAATACTGGAGACTCCGATAGTCATCATTCCACAGAGTAAAGATAATGTGAACTCAACGAGAATTTTAAACTGACACAAGTTCTAAGATTTATCCTCCATTTATAGAAAGCAGTGCTCTGAGGAGGTGTCGTTGAAGTACATTCTCTCTCCACATCAAGTCCCTGACCAGGGCCTTACACCTGCGTGCCGCACAGAGGGAGTGCTTCACTTCCACCAGTACCATATTAAACTTGGGTGATCGCACGATCTTAGTTTGAAAAACAAAGTTCAGAAAATTACAGCATTGTAACAATGCAGGAAGAGGCCATTTGGCCCACAGTGCCTTCAAATGAATATCATTACCCAGTGCCAATCCCCTGATCCTTCCCCCCTACCCCTATCCAAATAACTATCCAATACCCTTTTCAGTGCCTCAATGAACCTGCCTTCACCATACTTCCAGCTAGTGCCCTCTAACCCTAGCTACTCATTGAGTTCAGACATTTTTCTCACGTCACCTTGCTTCTATGGCCCATCACTTTGATGGAGTAAAATGAATTTAAGTTCCACCAGATTCCACGGTGGGATTTGAACTCATATCCCCGAAGCGTTATGTGACCTCTGGATTAATAGCCCAGTGACATTACCCACAAAGTCACTCTTCTCCCACTCTCCTTTAACAATCCGGTCCAGTTCAATGGTACAAAATTGTATTTGGTGAGGATCCCTGTCAACGTTTTGCAGGTATTAATATTTCCTTTGAAATTAGGACTTCCATTCATTTAGCCTTAACTGCAGTTCCCAGAAGCCCCTTCTCAAACAATTCACAGCCGATCATTGACTCTGAAGTGGAATATCTGTCCTTGTTTTACCCAGTGTATTAATGCATCTGTCATAAACAAGGACAACTGAAGCAATCTCTTTCCCCCTGCTCCACTCCACTGAGCCCAACCCAACCCAAAATTAGAACACGAGACATCGAGTAAAACATGTCAACATTAATGGCAAAAGTCAGGAAAACACTTATTTTGTGCCTTTAGTGATCATTAAGGTGGCCAGGGCGAAGGTTGGTGGGGGGGGGGGGGGGCGCAGATTTCCTGGTCATTATCTCTTGGCCGCTAATGTGATCTTGCCGTGCACAAATTGGCTGTTGTGCTTCTTACAACCAATGACTGTGCTTCAAAATGACTTCATTGGCTACAAAGCACTATGGGACATCTTAAGGCAGTGAAAGGTGCTATATAAATGCACACCTCCCTTTTCTGCCGCTACACACAAAGCCACATTTTGCAACAATCCTTTGGAAGATCTGAAAGAATGAGGTCAAGGTGTATCAAATGCCCTCGCTTAGGAGTTGACAGCTGTGCTGTATTTAACACTATCCTCATCCAAGAGTGTCCTCTGTTATTCTGCAGCCTCCAGTTGTTTCTTCACCTTAGTCTGTTGCTGCATCTTCTTCAGCAGTTTCACCAGCTCACTGTTGTTCTTGTTGCTCTGATCCAGTTGGATCTCCAGCTCATTCAGGTCACATTCCAGCTTCTTCTTTACTCTCAGGGCCTCACCACGACCTTTCACCTCTGCGTCAAGACTGGCCTGCAGCGAATCCAGAGCCCGCTGGTGGTTTTTCCTTGAAAAGTTTAAGAGAAAAAAAGAAAAAGGTCCAGTCACTGGAAAGGATCCTGACAAAGACAGGCCCTGTTCAACAGCGAAGAACAGCTACCCTTGATCCTAGATAACAAAATCGTCGCTGATTGCCTAATTTGCACCTTTAGCTCAAATCAGCCCAGAACGCCACAGGTAACGGCTTACTTCCCAAACACTGTGTACCTGTGCTCTCTCAAAACCATACTCCCATACCCTAACCTGCACCAATCAACCCACCCACTCCACTGCTTGCTGACCTATACTGGTGCCCAGGCTGACAACATCTTGATGTTAAAATTCTCACCCTTGTTCTCATTTCTCTCTATCGTCTAACACCCTCACTATCTCTCTCAGTGCCTCCAGCCCCACAACCCTCTGAGATCCCCTCAATTATCCAACTCTGGCCTCCTCAATTTCGACAGTTCCACTATTGGTGGTGATACCTTCTACAGGTTATTCACTTTGGAACTCCCTTCAGGACCTTCTTTTGGTCTCTGTCTGTCTCCACTTGAGACATTCCTTTACCTTTGGCTGAGTTTTTAGTCATCTGTCCTAATATCTTCTTTTGAGGCTCACAGTCAGATTTTGTCCAATGAGGTTCCTGTGAAGCACTCTGGGAAGTATTAAAGGGTTAGAGGGACCATATAAATACAGGTTTATATGAGAGAATCCAACTTATTCCTTTCCGGTGCTCATAAGATGCCATTTTCCTTTTGATTTTCTTTCCTTGTGTAATCCAACAATTGAAAAACCCACCCTTAGTCTCATCCAATTACTGTCACTTGATCTTCCTCCTCTACTACCTTTCTAAATCTTGACTAAGTCCAGCCCTCTGACTTCTAGACAATAAACAGAGCCTTCTCAATGAATTAGGGCAGGAGGTGGCCATTCTGCCCCTCTAGTCTCCCGTCCTGTTCTAGATCATGACTAATCATCTCCTTCAACACCATCCCCATTTCTCTTGATGTCATTAATAACTAGAATTCCATCAATCTCAGTCTCGAACGTACTCCAGGACAAAGTCTCCACAGATTTCTGAGGTAAAGGATTCCAAAGACTCACCACCCTGTTCTTCTCAACCCTAAATGGCCTGTGACTATCTCCCAGTTCTGGGCCATTCCACTTTCCCTCCCCCAAACCACTAGAAACATCCTTCCTACAGTTAGCCCAATGAACTCTGTAAGGATTCTGTTTGTCTCGATGAGGTCACCTCCCATTCTTCTTAACTCAAATCATTCCCTATGCTGAATGGCCGCCAGAAGAAGGCACAACATCCTTACAATCCTTCGATGTCACTGAGGACCAGAACATTTCAAAATGATTCAATGGGGAAAGCTGAATGGAGTCAAATGCTTGATTCAGACTTACCACAGAAGAGAGAGGTTTCCGACAGAAGTCATGGAAGGTGGAAGAGAAGAAGAGAAACATAAGCAAAGGTCAGGAAAGAGCGACGGAGATTAGTATCTCCTTCAAAATGAAATAAACACAGTAAATCACAACAACACAGAATGAAACATTAACTTATCTGGCCCCCCTGCAGTCCAGACTACAGAGAATCAGTTTATCTAGAAAAATCACCATGGCAACAGGTCGTGAACTACGATGACAATAAAAATGAAACAGGTCATCATGATTTACACCCTAGTCAAGGACAATTATTAAAATATGAAATAATTGAGTTTACACAAATATGAACATCTTAAGTTTACAAATGATTACAATTCTTTGCAAAATGCAGGTCTCCTGAATCTGCAGAAGAAAGAGGCAGAGTTGACGGCTGATTGAGATTAAATAAAGAAGTAACTCTGCAGGAAGTGCAGAGAAGATTTACTGGAACGATGCCAGGGCTGGAGAATTGTAGCTACGAGGAGAGACTGGAGAGGTTGGGCTTGTCCTTGGAACAGGGAAGGCTGAGGGGTGACATGATTGAGATATTCAAAATTGTGAAGGGTAGAGACACAGTTAGATAAGAGGAACCGGTTTCTCTTGGCAAAGAGTTCAAAAACCAGGGGCCACAGATACAAGCCAAGTGGCAGAATGATCAGAGGGGACGTGAGGAAAAACATGTTTTACACAGAGAATGGTGAGCGTTTGGAATTGGTGGTGGAGACAGAGACCTTAAACTCTTTCAAAAAAAAACCTGGATCCACACCTTAAGAGCTGTAAGCTGTAGGGCTGTGGGCAGTGTGCAGGAAGATGGGATTAGAAAGGGCATCTGGGTGTCTCTGGGTTGGCGTGCACAAGATGGGCCTAATGGCCCCTTCTGTATAATTACTATGGTTTTGTGGGACTAGACTCAGTTGTAATGCCTCACACAGACAAACAGCCTGCCAACATTCGTGTTGTGGATCTCATGTGAAAAGTTGCCACTGAGGCCCTGAGGGCAGCTGTCAGGATTTTTGTGGAATGGGAATGTGAACAGGGATGGGGAAGAGTGTAGGGAAGATAACACACAAAGAAAAACAAATATTCCATTGCTTGGCTGCACTTCCCACTTTCAATTCTGTATAAATAAGCTCATGGTTTAGAAATAAAGAGTGTTCTCACATTAACTGAGCAAAAGAGCAATGTTTAAAATCCACCACATGCTGCAGGGTGTGACAACAAGAGTTTACAAGAATGCCTGGAGCAATGTGCAAATGGGTTTTTCATTGACTAGGAGAAGGCAGTAGGAACAGCTGAAAACAGAGTAAGATTCATCAAAAACCAGCAGAAGGCAATGGGACTGAAAAGCTTTCGGCTGCAATATTGGTGAGCAGACTAAGGGGACTGTGAGAGTTTGAGGAGTCAGTGGAAGAGCTAATAACCTCTGGATAGTCGGATCATCGCTGCTCATTCACACCTGGAGGGACATTGCCTAAAAGGCAGCAGCAAAGACTCATGCTTCCTCTGTCTGGTCTGAACTGACACTGTGTTTGAGCACAGCGCGCCATGCAATACCCCGGCAGCGGCTACCTTTCTCCTTTAGTTTTTTTCCCTCTCGGTTTACCTTCAGGAGGGAGCTCGGTTATGGAGGCAGCGGCAGTGGCTAGGGGCGCAGCGTGGCACTAGAGCGGGATCCTGGTGGTGCGGCTGGTGAGCTGGATGGCGGTCAGTGGCGAAGCAGAAGCGCAGGGATTGAGAGATCAAGTCCAGTGTGGGGGAAGAGAGGATGGCGGTCAACAGTGAGGCAGCAGTACAGAGGCGCGGGAGGGGGTTAGCTGAAGCCTTTGTAGGGAAAGGCGGCATGGTGCAGCTGCAGGCCATTGGCTGTCGTATGAAACTTTTAACTTCATTTCTTATTTACTACTTCATTCTGACAAGAACTGTAATGTTGAACTTTTATTTATTCTCCGACTGTTTACCAACGATTTTGTATCGAGGCGCCCTGCACCTAAGATGGCGCTGTGAATGGCGACACTGTAAATGCTTCACTGTGCTCCAGTAAGTACACTCGACAATAAAACCTAACTCTAATTCTCCATCTAATTACTGCAGGAAGTAGTAGACGGCATTACCGTGTCGCCTCAAACTCCTCCTCCTTCTCCTGGACTCTGCGGTCAATCTCGGTCTTCACCTGGGTCAGCTCGAGCTGCAGTCTCACCACTTTACTTTCTTCAGCCTGAAAATCCAGGAGAACCATCAGTGTGTTCGACAAATAACTGCCCTCAGGCCAGAAACGGGGCAAACAATAGCTCAGAGTTTGAAATTTTAATACTCGGCAGCAGGGGAGGGGGACAATAAAACCAACCCTGTAAATGCACCGCAACGTTTGGAAAAAAATAATCCCTGCGGAATGTACTGAAACATTCAGAAAAATCAACTCGAGTAGAAAAATCAACTCCACCTATCTGCTCCATTATCCACCTTCCATCCGCCGCCCCCCCCCCCCATTTATTTCAGAATCCCCTTCCCCTCCCCCATTTCTGAAGAAGGGTCCAGACCCCGAAACGTCAGCTTTCCTGCTCCTCTGATGCTGCTTGGCCTACTGTGTTCATCCAGCTCTACACCTTGTTATCTCAGATTCTCCAGCATCGGCAGTTCCTACTACCTCTCTAGTAAATGTACCATAAGTTTGAGAAAAACAACATTCCTAGAGCAGAGTATTATTAAAATTAATATGTAAACGTACTGCAAAACAGCAGTCCTGTGGTGACTGCACTGTTAACTCACTAACCTTTCAGCGTTGGCACTGACCTTAAAGCTGCACTCAGACAACGCTGATGACATATAACATTGATCAATTACACAGGAACTTACAGCTTTCTACCAGGGTAGTACTGATTCCCTTAGCACCTCAATATATCAAGAGGCAGTGTACCACAGATACTCATTTTAACGTCACAGATTCATCAGATTGTTACAGCACAGAAAGAGGCCGCTCAGCCCCTTGTCCCTGCACCAGCTCTTCAAAATGAGCATCATTACCTATAGCCAATCTCCTGCTTTCTCCCCATACTACTTCATACTATTTCTATTCAAAATCATCCAATGCCCTTTTGACCTGAACCTGCCTCCACCACAGTCCCTGCCAATGCATTCGAATCCCTAGCTACTTGTGGAGTGAAAGCCCTTGCTTCTTTTGCATTAAACTTATGCCCTCTTGGCCTTGTTCCTTTCATGAAATGGAACAGCTTCTCCCTATCTACTGTATTTGGCCCACTCATGATTTTCTAAACCTCTATCAGATCTCCTCTCTCCAAGGGGAGCAGTCCAAATTCACCCTCATGACTGAAGTGTCTCACTCTAGAAGAAGCTCCAGTTGCCTATGTCTCCTCTACTTTGCCAGACACATTCCATCATTCCTAGGATTAATGATTGATCCTCACTTCATGCAGAAGCTTATTGGTGAATACTGAAATGGTTACAATGTGAATATGCTCTGTGTTACCCTCAGTGTAAGCAACCTTTCATTCCGGTTTCCATTAATTTGAGTTGTCACATTCCGTAGGCCCCAAACAAACCTCTAGTGCGGCCTCCGATTCCTCAAGAGTTGCCTGCAGCTCTTCCTTCTCCATCTCCAGTTTCTTCTTCGCTTTCTGCAGCTCGTGGACACTCTTTCCCCCCTCGCCCAGCTGGTCTGTCAAGTCGGTAATCTCCTCTGTAGAAGCAGAATGGAAACAGAACCACGTCAGCCTGAGCCATCAGAGAGGCACCGCTGGTCTTTCAGCCACACACCTAGAACAAATCACCACGTGCTCTGGGAAGGTCATACTTCAACAGCGACTAGCCAGTGTCACATCCTTGTCCCACCTTCTCTTCCCCCCGACTTACTGTCAAGGCGTCAATTCTCTCTGGTTGTTACCCACCAGCAGCTTCCAGAAACATTAATGAAAGCATCAGAAATGCCAGTCCTCAGCAGGCAAATGAAGTGAACCTGGTTGCTATCCAGAAACACTGGGAGGCAGCACTGTCACTGGCCTGGGCACAATGGTTACGGCAGCGATCCAAGGAGGTGGGGTGGGTGGCGTTTAATCTTTGATGGGATGTGGGCACTGCTGAAAGAGGCTGGCCCATCCCTAACTCCCCCTGAATGGAGTGGCTTGAGGGCCATTTCAAAGGGCAGTTAAGAGTTAAGCAGTTCTGACAACATATCAGACGTGAAACATTAACTTTGTTTCTCTCTCCGCCAGACCTGCCGAGTATCTCCAGCGTTCTCTGTTTTCCAGAGGTAACTACAATGCTGAGGGTCTGGAGTCACATATAGGCCAGTTTAGGTAAGGAAGCCTCACTGCCCTCCCTATAGGACAGAAGGGTCCCATCCCGAAACATCAGCTTTCCTGCTCCTCTGATGCTGCCTGGCCTGCTGTGTTCCTCCAGCTCCACACTGTGTTATCTCAGACTCCAGCATTGGGAGTTCTTACTATCTGAGTGTACCTGGTGGGTTGCTTTGATAATTGATGACAGTTTAATGGTCCCTACTGCAGAGATTAGCTTCCAAATTCAGAGCCGAATGTACCCTCCACCAGGCCCCGAGGACTTCCGAACCTCAACGTTCCTTTTGTCTAGTTTTACAGTCTCCAACTCTGCTTCATTTAGCAAGACTTGCAAACATGACTTGCCATCGAGAGCAATTACAATCCTCTTTCAGTGTACTTTGCTCAGACTCAAGTGTAAGGATGGACATTAGCTCCCAGTTCCTCCTGGGTTTGTTCACTTACACAGTCTCCTACTTCGGTCTGGCCAGGTGTAGGGAGAGCATTTTGGTGGCTGCAGCAGTAATTTCCCATGCGTGAAATTTAAATGGGACGGGGGTCAACAAAAACGGGGATGCCACAAAAGGGGGTGGAAAATTCTGCAAGTTTTGAAGGGCATCAAAAAGCATCTCAAAGGCTGAGGAACACATGGAGATTGGAAAGTATAAAGAAAGATCCTCAAGCTGTGGGTGTGACTCTAAAGGCCTGCTCTGTACCACAGCTGCTGTAGTAGAAGATGGTTCTGGGAGAGATTGTGTGGACAGAGGTCTCGCTGTTCTATTCCACAGCATCATCCCTGCAATTCGACACTGCAACAGGACTGTAAGGAAACAGCACTGAGCGCTACCATCACTGCATCAGCTTACGCTGAACATTAGCTTGTGTCAGACTTAGCTATCCTTCAGAAAGGACATAGAAATACAGACAATTCACTTGACTGGGATGAGAGATTAGTCAATGAGGAAAGACCGGATGGGCAGGACCTGAAGGCACTACAGCTTAGAAGGGGGAGGTGTGATCTTATTGAAACATAGAAAGGTCCTGACAGGACTTGGCAGTGTTAAGGTTGAAAGGATGCTTCCCATTGTGGGGGAGAGTGGAACTAGGGGACACTGTTTAAATATAAAGGAGACTCCCATCTAAGATGAAGTAAATTTCTCTTCTCGCTGAGTGTTGAGAGTTTGCAGAATTCTCCTTCCCAGACAGCAGTTGATGTGACAATAGCAAAAGGTTTCTCTGAGACTTCGGTGAAACTTAGCCTTCAAATTGGCCTGAGCCAATTGTGGGAGATTGCACAAAAGTGGCTACTTCACTGACCGACATTACAGAATGGCTTCACCCGCTATGAAGCGCATTGGGACGACGAAGGACACCTTGGCTACCTTATATCGATGCAAGTTCCTTAATATTTGCAGAAGATGGAAAAGTATTAAATTTCTCCTCCCTTTGACAGATCCCTGCCCAGAAGGTGCCCAGGACCTGAAGAAATCATTTGGTGGCACTTTGGCAGATGTGTGATGAATCACATTACTCTGGTTCCTGATCACACTTTATTATAGCGCCCTGGTGCTCTAAGATAATGTCGTTCTGAGGAACAGTATCATTAATTGCTTTAGGAATAGAATATATGGCCTCTATTTACTGGCTAAGTTGAGGTGTGCTCATTTCTAAATGACAGCATCCAGCACTCTTCTCTTTGTACAAATACATCAAAGAGAAAGGCAATCAATGCCAAAGGCATCATTAGTTGGTTGAGGCTGGGTGAGGAGGAACTTCCAGTAACGCAAATATGAAAAACAACAACACACATTCAGAAGACGCTAAAATAAAGGCTTGATTTATGGGCTCCAAGCTTGCCATTGTATAACCTTCAGATTGCTTTTAAACAACCTTCCCAGGACTTTATAATGACATTTTCCAGGTGACCTACATAGATTAAGGGCAGGAAATGGCAAACAAAACTAAAAGGTTACAATTCTAAAAGGTGGCACAGTCGGTCAGCGCATTTGGCTGTTGCTTGGTCGAGACCATCCAGGGGCAAAGGTAATACCATTTCAGGTCTCTCCTGGTGCTGTGGTAAGGTCCCAAGCTCTGATCTAGGAGGCCCAGGTTCACATCCCACCAGCTCCACATGTGTATAATATCTCTGAATAGGTTGGTTAGGAAAATATCTACAATTCTAAAAGGAGCGGTTCAGAAACAATGACTCCTCAGAGTTTATGTCCAAGTCAGTAAAAGCAGCAGGACAAGTCTTCAAAAAGGCATTCAGGAATCTAAATTTTATACGTAGACTTACAGAGTTCAAAAGGAAGGAAGTTATGAAAAGCAAGTAACTGTGGTAAAGCTTAAAAATGAACACTGCGTCAGCCTCAAATCGGAGGGTTATGTCTAGTTCTGCACATCACACTTTCAGAATGATGTAAAAACACGAGCCAGGGAGCAGAAACCACTCATAAGAATTGTTCCAGGGATGAGGACTTCAGTTATCGGGGTAAATCAGACAGACAGGGGAAGTTACCCTTTAGAGAAGAGGAGGATGTGATGAGGATTCAATAGGGATGTTTAAAATTTAGGCAGAATGCACAGGGAGAAACTATTCCCATTGGTGGAAGGATAGAGAATAGAAGATACAGAATTCACATGAGTTGCAAAAACATTGAAAGGTGACATGAGGAAAAGCTTTTTTTGTTACAAGAAGTGTGTATTTTTGATCCAAAATGCACTGCCCAAGAGTGTAGTGGAGGGAGACCCAACTGTGGTGTTGTAAAGGATATTGTGTAATTTTCTGAAGGGATAGGAGAAATGGCAGAGGAGTAGAACAAAATTGCTCTTACTGAGAGATTGCATGGATACAAGAGGTCATCACATGCATTCCCCTTCCTAAAATCAGCCTTACCTTGCCCAACATACGGAGTCAACTGAACTTTTAATCCTAATATTTGTACTAACTCAAACTCCAACACGTTATCTTCATAGCCAATACACCTTCATGACTATTCAGATATTTACCTTGTAGTGTTTTGTTCTCCCGCTTGAGCGAGTCCAGTTGTTCGATCAGCTCTTCGTAGGAGGTCTTCAGTTTGAAGAGCTCGGTGGCGTACTGGCGACACTCTTTCTGGGAGGATTCCAGCTCGGTCTGGACCTCCTCACACTTCTGGCGCCAGTCAGAGATTTGCTTATCGATCATTCTCTGCTTCTTGTCCAGGGTCACACCTGCAGCATTTGCCTGAGTGAAAACAAAAAAAAAGGAAAGCCCCTTGAGGAGTTCAAATCAATTTTGCATTTAGCTTCACACTGAGGGCTTTAGGGATTTGGGTGTGAAGGTAGATTCATTTTTTTTTAAATCCTGTTAAGAGTTGCTCCTCTGTAGTCACATGGCACACTCAAATTATAGAAAGTATACCTTTAGTTCAAACAGCGGGTGGCAGAGGATGATCAATCATCTGCTTATAACTTGTTATAATTTTGAGAAATGTTTTTCCTCCTCCCCACCATCCCCTCCAAAAAGTTTTCACTCAATTTTATTGCCAAAAGTGGAACCTGCCAGAGACCCTTTTAAAGAACTAATTTTATAGCAGATCACAAAATGTAGATTTGGAGGTCAGGGACATGGTAAGTATTGAAAACAGTTTGGAAATTCGCTGTTTATCAAACAGTGGGAATATGAAAAATCGGTCCTTATGAAGGAAGTTGCAAGACAGTATTTTAACCTGAGACAAAGGTCTGCAAATTTGGATCGAGTGACAAGTGGGGTAGGGGGTTAAGTCTCCGAAAACATGTTTCCCAACCCAAACCCACTACCTGGCCACACATTCCCAACACCCCCCAGACAGCCTTTCCCTCCACAATCATCCCTCCAACCAACATCAGACCTCATGCCCCACATCAGGGTCCTCGAAATCCTCTGCTACCCTGGAGGCATCCCACCACTCCATACTCAAAGTCTCTCATCCTTCACCTCTCCAATATCCTCCCACTACCACCTTTCCTCAACTAATGGGCAATGACTCTCTCTAAACTTTGGGCCCTCATCTTTATGCCCCTTCCATCACCATCCCCTCTGGAATGGGCAGCCCACTGGACAGACACCCTCAGCCTGGATTCACTCACTGCGGAGAATGACCGGTTCACCGTTCAACTGGAGGTTCAGCTCAGGCCTCGAAGGGGGAACCGCTTCTACATCAATGCAGCACGGTCGACAGAGCATGGGGTTAATCCTGATCTGTGGGTTCTCCCACCTCCATCCTGCCCCAGGCTTCCTAACTTAGGGCCACCTTGTGTGGCACTGCGACCCCCTGTGAATGTCAACAGTAGGTTAAGACCATGGGATATCAAGTGCTACAAAATAAAAGGTCACAGTTCAAACATTCAGAAACTTTCAACAAATAAACTTCCGTTGTTTTTGTTGAGAGAGTGAGATCAGTAACAGCTCAGCCACAGGCTGGAGTTTGCAGCTGTAAATTGATACACTCCCAATGTGAGGGTAAAACACTGCATTTCCGACTTAGCGTTATAATGCCATGTCAACATGCTGGTCACGAGTACTACTGAAGAGGAGCAGTCAGGTTCATTACACATTGCTATTTCTATGTGGCCAATTAACAAGCTACTGAGGGGTTCAAAAGTCAACTGTTCAGAACTTTCCATTGCCTATTGCATGAACTAAAGAAAAGACTGGGAGTAAAAACCGAAAGAACTGTGGATGCTGTAAATCAGGAACGAAAACAAAGTTCCTGGAAAAGCTCTGCAGGTCTGGCAGCATCTGTGAAGGGAAAAACAGAGTTAACGTTTCGGGTCCGGTGACCCTTCCTCAGAAAGATTGGGAGTGTTTATCAAGCACCTTGACCATACAGTACAGGGGCCAGAGAACAGGCCTCACCGTGACTGATCCTGGTGAAGGGGGCAGTATCTGCGCAGTTCATAGGCTCACTTCAAACTTTGAGCCATCCATTAAAATGGAAGGACCAATTCGGGGAGAGGCGAAGGGTCCTTCCAATTTGTAGCTGTAACCAACTTCCCGTTTGTGGCACAGCTGTGCCACTGCATGACCGGCCTGGAATCCCGAGTGTGTGTGAGGCTATCCCTCGCAGCCTGCCCACCAATGTGACCATCCTGAAGAGCTCGGGGGGCCACCAATGTGACCATCCTGAGGAGCTGGGGGGAGGCCACCAATGTGACCATCCTGAGAAGCTCGGGGGACCACCAATGTGACCATCCTGAGGAGCTGGGGGGGGGCCACCAATGAGCATTCAAGGTGCTGGCGGGGGGGGGGGTGGGGGGTGGGGGGTGCGGCGCAGGAGTCAGCCGACTGCTCGGCTTCTGTTCTGTCTCTCTCACAGGCATCAACCCTGGCAGAAAATCCCCTCTCTTAATTTCTGAAAGGCCACCCACACAATGAAGTGGGGGCCTGGTAGTCAGTGCACGGCGGGATTTATATCATTACCCTAAGACTCTGTCTGGTGCGAGAAGCTCAAGTGAGAACGCCAGAACCATAGAATCCCTAGTGGGAAGCAGGCCATTCAGCCCATCGGGTCCACATCGAACAGCAGCCTACCTAGACCCACCCCCTACCTGATCCTGTGACTGTGCATTTCCCATGGCCAATCCACCTAAGCTGCACGTCTTTGGACTGTGGAAGGAAACCAGCACACCTGGAGGAACCCCACACAGACACAGGGAGAATGTGCAAACTCCACATAGGCAGTCACCTAAGAGTGGAATCGAACCCAGGTCCCTGGAGCTGTGACATTGCAGTGCTGCCCCATAATTGGAAATGGGGAGGAAAGATGAACCCTCTGACCACTGCTTGCTCCAGGTTGCTGTTCAGAGACCTTCACAGGGCATGAGTATTTCTCTCTTACTGGACAGAGAATCAGTGGAGACTTTGGGCCCTGTATCTAAGGAAGGATGCACTGGCCTTGAGGTGGGGAGTCCAGTGGATGTTTACAAGAATGCTCTCAGGAATGAAGGGCTTGTCATACGAGAGCAGTCGAGGACTCTGCATCTGTATACTAAGGTGTTTAGGAGGATGAGGGCGTGTTCTCTTTGGAGCTTAAAGAATACTGAGAGGCCCTGGATGGAGTGGACATGGAGACGATGTCTCCACTAGTGGGAGAGACTAGGACCTGACGGCACAGTCACAGAGTGAAGGGATGACTCTTTTGAACTGAGTGAAGAAAGCGTTTGCCTTTATTGGTCTATGTTTGCGTCTTTATTGGTCTATATATTGCCTTTATTGGTCATTGACTATACGAGCTGGGAGGTCATGTTGTAGCTGTACAGGACATTGGTTAGACCACTATTGAAATACTGTGTGCAGTTCTTGTCTCCCTGCTACAGGAAGCACGTTGTCAAACTTGTAAGGGTTTAGAAAAGATTCACAAGGATGTGCCAGGGTTGGAGGGGTTGAGCGATACGAAAAGGCTGAATAGGCTGGGGCTATTTTCCCCAGAGCTTCACAGGCTGAGGGGTGACCTTATAGAGGTTTATACAGTCATGAGGGGCAGGGGTAGGGTGAATAGCCAACATCTTTTCCCCGGGGTGGGGGAATCCAAAACAAAAGGGCATAGGTTTAAGGTGAGACGGAAAAGGACTTAAAAGGGACCTAAGGGGCAACTTTTTCACGCAGAGAGCGGTGCAGATATGGAATGAACTGGTGGAGCTGATACAATTACAACAAATTTAAAGGCATCTAGATGGGTATATGAGTAGGAAGGATTTAGAGGGATATGGGTTAAATGCTGGCAAGTGGGACTAGATTAATTTAGGACATTTGGTTAGCATGGACAAGTTGGACCAAAGGGTCTGTTTCCATGCTGTACAACTCTTTGACTCTCTAACGGAGATGAGGAGGAATTTCTTCAGCCAGAGGGTGGTGAATCTGTGGAACACATTGCCGCAGAGGGCTGTGGAGGCCAGGTCACTGAGTGTACTTATCATGGAGATAGATAGGTTGGTGATCAAGTGTTATGGGAAGGAAGCAGGGGAATGGGGGTGAGAAACAGATCAGCCATGATTGAATGGCAGGGCAGACTTGATGGGCCGAACGGCCTAAATCTGCTCCTACCATCTAATGGCAACATACCAGACACTATAGACAATCATAACATTGGACCTTGGCATGAGCGACCACTTAAAGGAGATTGAGCGACCACTTAAAGGAGAT